GTTCTTGAGAGATTATTGGGAACACGGTCACATGGCACTCGTTAGCGACCTGCCCCCCTCTCCCCAAGGTTACTACATTCCTCATCACGCCGTCTGGAAGCCACATAGCGAACCCCTTAAATTGCGTGTTGTGTTTGATGCTTCAGCCAAAACTTCCAACGGACGGTCTCTGAACCATCTTCTATTTACGGGTCCCAAGCTCCAACCCGACATTGGAGCCATTTTGCTCATCTTTCGACTGTACTGTGTGGTTTTCACCACCGATATTCGTCAGATGTATCGTCAAATCCTAGTGAGTGACGCCGACCACCTCTTCCAGCGGATTCTGTGGCGTTTTGATCCCCGCGAAGCAGTGCGAGAGTACGTCTTGTCAACGGTGGTCTATGGAATAAGTTGTAGCCCATACTTGGCTATTCACGTGTTGCGTCAGCTTGCTAGGGACGAAGGAGCGCGTTACCCGTTAGCAGCCCGTCTCCTAGATTGCCAAACCTATATCGACGACATTATCGAAGGAACAGACTCGTTGGAGGAAGCCCGTGAGTTGAGGGATCAATTAGTATCGCTGCTAAAATTGGGTGGTTTCGAGTTGCGCAAATGGGCGAGCAACTCCCCCGAGTTATTGAGTTCACTCCCCGCTTCACATCATCAACCCGTTTCCCTATGCGGAGACGACAATCCCAGTTTAAAGGTGTTACGGGATGTGTTCTCCTACCGCATCCAAGTAGCGGATAGGACGTGCACAAAAAGGAATATTTTGTCGCAAGTAGCCCAAATATACGATCCCCTAGGTTTTTTATCCCCGGTCGTGTTGACTGCCAAAATTCTCCTACAGAGACTTTGGTCCCAGGGCGTCGATTGGGATGCACCTCCCCCCCGCGACATATTCGAAGATTGGAGTTCGTTTTCGTCTCAGCTGGACAGTCTTTCTGGGCTGACAATCCCTCGTCGGGTACTGCCTAGCAATGGCGTCCAGGTGGAGACGCACGGATTTTGTGACGCTTCGGAGCGCGGATACGGTGCAGCCGTGTATCTGCGAAGCGTCAGAGAGGGCCATATCTCTGTCACCCTTCTGTGTGCAAAGAATCGGGTAGCGCCTTTGAAGCGAGTGTCGATCCCCCGTCTGGAGTTGTGCTCAGCGTTACTGCTCGCCCAACTCGTAGATTTCGTCCGATCCACTATAGCCTCTGAGTTGACTATCACGAGAGTATTCGCCTGGAGTGACTCCAAAATTGCGTTGTCTTGGATAAAGTCCTCCCCCCACAGATGGAAAACTTTTGTGGCCAATCGCGTGTCCTTCATTCAGGACATCATTTCCCCCAGTTCCTGGCATCACGTCGCCGGTTCATCCAACCCTGCTGATTGCGCATCCCGAGGGCTTTTCCCCGAGCAAATATTAATTCACCCCTCTTGGTTCTGTGGTCCCCCCTGGTTGCGTCTTCCGGTGGAAGAGTGGCCCACCTCCGACTTCACCCCCGGAGACGATCTGGAACTGGAACGTAAACCAGTGTTGACTTTTGTGTCCACCCCTTTAGTTGACTCGCTCGGAGAACTGTTAAACCGTTTCTCGTCGTTACGAAAAATTGAGAGGATCCTGGCTTATTGTTGTAGGTTTCTAAATAATTGTCGTACCCCCGTTCCCAAGCGAGCGCTTGATAATTTGTCTTTTGCGGACACGTACCACGCCCGCACGTTGTTGACAGGATACGTCCAACGTGAGGTGTTCGCCGGTTTGCTGAAGTGTCTTCGAAACGGTAAACTGTGCCCCAAACCTTTACGCTCCCTAGCGCCCTTTATCGACGAGCACGGTCTCATTCGAGTTGGTGGCAGACTCCGAGGTTCTGCGTTGTCTTTCGACGCAAAACATCCTCTTCTACTACCTCGAGACCATCGCTTTACCGAACTCGTGATCGAAAAGTTCCATAAGGAAAATTGCCACCCGGGCCCCCAATCGTTGTTGTACCAGATTTCACAACAATTCTGGATTTTGTCCGCCCGCAGAGCAATTCGTCACACCCTATCGCAGTGTTACCGATGCTTCCGTGTCCAACCTTCTTGTGTACAGCCATTCATGGCTGATTTACCCCCCGTTCGTGTATCGCAAGTCAAGCCATTCGCGCATACCGGTGTGATTTTGCCGGTCCAATTTCCATTACCCTTGCGCGAAGGCGCGGCGCTAAGACTCAGAAGGCTTACATTTGCCTATTCGTTTGCATGGCTACCAAAGCCATCCATTTGGAATTGGCTTCTGAACTCAGCTCAGACGCATTCTTGGCCACTTTTCGGCGCTTTGTCGCTCGCCGCGGGCGTTGCACTGACATAGTAGTATAGTGATCAGGGTAGAAATTTTGTCGGTGCTAACGGGTTGTTGGTACAGTATTGCCAGCAGTCCGCCGACCAATGTGAGGTGCGCTGGCACTTCAACCCACCCTCCAGTCCTCACTTTGGAGGTCTTTGGGAGGCCGGCGTCAAGTCGGTAAAGACCCATTTGTTTCGTGTGATAGGCTCTCAAATCCTGACTTTCGAGGAAATGTCGACAGTGTTAACTCAGGTGGAATCTATACTGAATTCCCGGCCCTTATGTAGTTTGAGTTCCAACCCAAACGATTTGCATAGCCTTACTCCTGGGCATTTTCTGACCCTGGAGCCCCTATCTGCCCCTCCCGACGACCCTTTAGCTAATCTGAACACTAACAGACTCACTCGTTGGCAGCTCATGCAGCAGTTGCATCAGCACTTCTGGGACAGATGGCATCGGGAATACCTCCACCAGCTGCAGCAACGGCACAAGCGGAACACCACGACTAACCCCCCAAAAGTTGGTCAGTTGGTTTTAATTAAAGACGAGAACCTCCCCCGTTAAAGTGGCTTCTGGGCCGCATCACGCGCTTGTACCCCAGTTCCGACAAGGAAATTCGCGTTGTGCAAGTGCACACGGCCAAAGGCACTTTCGATCGACCTTTGGTCAAATTATCTTTTGTCCCTAACTGTTAACTTGTTCAAGGGGCAACCGTGTATATAGTATAGGATAAGTTTATGGGAAAAATTGGGTATTTTTGGGAGGCCGGAATGTTAAGGGTTGAATAACATTTTTCGGTAACTTCATAATTTTTTTGTTTTGGGTTAACCTTTTATTTTCGCGCTGTGTATACAACACCCCCACCATACCCAACCTTGGTTAAGCCGCGCGAAAAGACAGACTTGCGTGAGCGTCCGTAGTGCGAACCACGAAAAAACAAGCTCTCTTTTGTGACCGGTTCGCGAGAACCCCGCGCTGTGTTGTGGTAAATACCACCCCCAACCCTCCAGAAAATACCCCTAAGAAGACCCGGCCGGGCAGACGACGACGCGGGAAACCATCAAGGTGGGTGATTAACCGTTTCGGGTGTTGTATGTCCTACCGTTTTCTTGCCGCTCTTTCTCGTTTAAATTTTGAGGGTGATTTACAACCACCTTCCCCCAACCCTTTACACTGAACTTTAGTTCTTATTTATTTTGATAAATGGATTTTCATCAAGTAAAAGCCACCTCAGTTCAAATTCAGTAATTTTAATATTTAGGTCACTCAAGAAATTTCAAATAATTTAAATTAATTATGAAGTAACGTAGGTTCGGCCTAATTAAAAATTCATACGTTAGGTACTTTCCAGTTTATTGGTCGTTTATCCCCATAAAACTTAGATCTAAGGTGTATTGAACTGGTCATAATGTCTGTAGATCCTATTGTTGCGGCTAGAATTGTCGCGTTAATACAACATGGTCGAGGAAAACGGGAAACTGCAAGAATTGTTGGTAGCAGTCTATGTATACCAACGCTACAAGGAGACTGGCTTGGTCACTAGAAGACCAGGATCTAGTCGAAGAAGGATCACCAAACCAAAGGGATGATCAATATTTGGTCTCCGCAAGTTTGTGGAATAGAACAACTTCTGCTGTTTGGTTTCGAAATCAACCTCAGGTTCGAAATGCTAATTTTAGGATAATGGTCTGTCAGAAGAAGGCCTTATGCTAATGGATTGTTTTGTCGAAAGATGGGTACAGAGCCGCCATGGTACCGACGCCATCGAATACCAAGATTAGCTTTTGCCTGAAATCACATAGATTTGAATGATTGTGAATGGAGCAAGGTACTGTTTTCCCGTTTTTACCTCACTGGGTCAGACGGACGTCGAAGAATATGGAGGAGACTCGGAGAAAGATATGCTCCAGGTTGTATTGAAGAAACATTTCCACATGGTGGTGGCTCGGGTATGGTTAGGCCGGAAAGCACACACAGAGTTGGTTTTTATACAGAATGGCTCTACAACAGGTCACAGGTATATTACGGCAATCCTCTATGACCATTTAATGATCACTATGGGCGAAAATGGCATTTTTATGCATGATAATGCTAGCCAGAATATCTAGATGAGGTGAGAATGAGTCGGTTTGATTGGCCATCACTCAGTCCAGACATGAATCCCATCGAACATGTGTGGGATGAGATGGGACGACGTATGCGAAGATATATACCAGCTCCAAGAAGTGCTCAAGGGCTGACAGAATTGCTAATCCACGAATAGAACAACATTGACTAGAACATTATCCGTAATTTAATTCAAAGCATGTCTTGGTGAGTACAAGCACTCATAAATGCAAGAGCAGGGAATACAAGTTATTGATTTTCAGGTTTTATCAATATTGTTAATTGTTACTCGTTCCAAATAGTTGGAAATAAAAAATAATTTGGCTTTAATTATAATAGGCATTTTCTGTTTTCCGACAAAATCATGAAAACCAACTTAAGGTTTTCAGATTAAATGCTAAATTCAGTTAACCAAATAGAATAAGATACATAATTTATCATCTACTAGATCGATTTACTTTTTCTCCCAAAAAATTGTAATTTCGTGAGCGACCTAAAGTTTTTGCTCGCCAGTGTAGTTAATCTTTTCGTGGGTACCAGAAATGCGATGTTCACGAGGGTAACACGTGGTACTTATTAGTCACATCATAGTACTCACTTGAATAGACAGAGTGTAGCTTGGGAAATTTCCGTTAGCAATGGCGTTGTACAAATCCCTAATGGCATAATCGGGATCGCTTCCGGCGAGCTGGTCGGCCCTCTTGGCATCAATATTCTTAATACCTTGATCGGTTTTATAGTGGAATTTGCAGTAGACGTATTTCCCTTGTTTGTTGACCAGCTTAAATGTGTGGGAACCATAGCCGTTCATGTGACGATATCCGTCGGGGATGCCCCTGTCGCCAAACAGAAACAGCCATTGATGCATACTCTCCGGCCTCAGTGTATGGAAGTCCCACATCATATCGGGGTCTTTCAAGTGTGTCTGCGGGTTTCTTTTTTGCGTGTGAATAAAACTGGGGAACATTATGGGATCTCTAATAAAGAAAATAGGAGTGTTGTTTCCGACCAAGTCCCAAACACCGTCGTCGGTGTAAAACTTAACGGCAAATCCTCTGGGGTCACGTACAGTGTCGGCGGAGCCTAAAAGTTATAACACAAGTGAAAAAAAAAATATATTTTTTGGGTTTCTGTTTTTATGCGTAAATTCTGATTTTAGACATTGAAAAATATTCAAATTTCCATTGTTATTTCATAAAGTTTGCTATTGTTTGACTTATGTCGATAAGTATACTTATATATATAAGTATATTGTATATTGTAAGTAGCATCAAAGTTAGCAGTAATTGGTCTATCTCAGCTATAACAACTGTATTTGTGTATTACACAGTGTAAATATGATGCTGATTTGTTTTGTTTTATTTGTAGAGAATTCATTAAAGTTAGAAATAAAAAAATTGCCTTGTGAACAAATTTAAAATTTTGCGCACTTTCTCTGCAATAATTGTAAAAACTAAAATTTAACATTGTTAAATTACAACGGTCGTAATTGTCGTATTAGTAAATTTTATTTCTAGCTTGGTATAGAGGAGAACACCGACTTCCTTGAACCTCAGCTCCGATACCATATGATGAAAATACTCTTGTGCCTTCAGGTTCAGATTGTTCTGAAGCTCAAGCATCTGAAAGTTCAACAGAATCTGGTACACCACTAACCAACAATGCTGGTAGTGAATTCATGATAAAATGCCAAGGTTTTGGGCCACATTTTATTATTCCAACTGAATTTAATGATTTATTCTGAGACTTGAACATATCCAAGAGTAAAGCGGAAATTCACGACTAGAGCAAACTTGCTCGGATTAGAAGATTACGCAAAAATAACTGATCAAAGAGAGCGCCATAAAACTTTATCATGTTTTTTTCACAAAAGAAGCTGGTATTAGTGTAACAACGTGACTGAATTGTTTGAGACATTTGGAATGCACTGACTGGCGGATTTTTATCGATAGCTCTTCAACAAGTTTAAAAGCAGTTCTGCTTCACAACGGAAATGAATTGCCTAGTCACTAGCACATTTTCTATTGTTGAAATAGAGCTATGACAGTCTGAAAATAATACTTGAAAAATTGAAATACACGAATACCAGTGGAACAGTGATCGGTGATATTAAAATGGTAGTTTTTTATGGGAATGCAACGTGGATATACTAAATACCTCTGTCATCTTTGCTTGTGGGATAGCAGGGCAGATTGAGTGTATTATCAATAGCGTATTTAGCCTGACCGAGTCGAATTTCATATAGGAAAACATAACGTATAGCCTAAAAATGCTTCCATTTCATATGAAATTAGGCTTAACGAAGCAATTTGAGAAAGCTCTAAATCAGAATTCCGAAGCTTTTAAATATTTGAGAGAATTTTTTCATAAGTTATCTGAAGCTAAAATTAAAGGGGGTCCAACGAAAAGGACCACAATTAAAATAAATAATGAAAGCTTCTTAGTGCTTGTGAAAAACGAGCCTATAAGAGTTTTAAAGCAGCAATTGACGGCTTCCTCGGAAATCATAGACCTGACAGTTATAAACAATTGATTGATTGATGGGCTGGAGAATATTTCATAAACTTCATATACTACATTCTCATTTAGACGAATTTAAAGATAACATGCGTGCCTATTCCGAAGAACAAGGAGAACGTTTTCACCAAGATGTGATGGAAGATTACATTTGAGGTTTAATCCGGGAGAGCCCATACGAACATAAACGAAATACGAAAAATATTCATTTTTAGACACTTATTTCTTATTATTATTATATTTAGATTATATTGTTTATTACACATTTTGAATAAAAAACACACTGATATTTAAAAAAAACATTCCTTATCATAAATTAAAACAAAACTATAAAAAAAACGTAAAATTTAGTGATTTTTGCAGAAAAAATGAAAAGTAGACTTTAATTTTAAAAAAAATTTCGTTGTTTATAGCGTAAGAGAAACTGAAATTTAACATCTGCTGACCTGTGAATAAGAATCGTTTTTCCGGATACTTACCAGATTCGCCACCAACCGTAGAGAACCTAACCGCTATGGGTGTTTTTTTGCCAACGTGCTCGAAGACTTTCGCGGCAGAGTACCGCGTGATGTCGTGGGTTACTTCGAAGTATCCGAAGGCGCCGGCCCCTTTGGCGTGGACCACGCGTTCGGGAATACGTTCCCGGTTAAAGTGAGCCATCTCCTCGACAAACGCCCCGTCTTGCAGCAACACTGGGCCTCTCGGGCCGATGGTAAGAGTTGCATCTTTCACGACCACAGGAGCGCCTGACCCCGTAGTTGCCGTGGGATTTTTCTGAAAAATATCGGAACTGACCAACCTCGCAAGATGAAAAACAAAGAGGGTAAAGTATGTCTCGAAGTATATCGCCTCAGCTCCTCCAAAAAGTAATTACGATTGCGACCTTTTCATAGAGTGGGGCGAGTCAGGTAGATCGTGTCGTTTTATCGCGCATTTCAAAAAAGCTTCTTGCGATTATATCACTAATTCTTTCGTGATGTCCCTTCGAAACACTTAGATGCAAAACAAATTACGAAGGATGTGTATTATAGCAAATGTAAGATTCGGGACCACAATTAAACACGTAACCGAACTTTACTATTACTTACTATTTACTCTTAAAATAAAATAATAATCAAATATCACAAAACGCTTCGGCGCACTAGGCACTCCAAACTCCTTTTTAACGGTTCACCCGACATTTTTTATGCTATTTTTTTCTGAATTTATGCTCCGATCTCAATGATTTTTTTTTGCATTTCGCTGATAATGATTAAAAGTTCATTTTCGATTTATACCGGGTATAGTAAAAATGTAGTGTTTTTCCGGAAACTCGTATCACCCTGTGAAGTATACTAGCAACGGAAACATATAGGTCATCTTTCCCCAAAATGTTCTTTTTTGGTTTACTTCATTATCTCTGTTATTTAAGAAGATACATCGTTTTATAGCGTAACATGTTTTTGTAGACTTTATTATTCAGTACATTCATTGTTAAATATGTTCAAGTAGGCTTTGGAATTTTTCTGGCATTTAACACCATTTTTAAACAGATTTTCTCTTTTAAATTTACAAAACTGTTCGGAAATTGCTTATTAAATTTTCTTTTCGTTTAACCAGTTGCCCGACGATTATTTTATTCTTGAAAAATGGATCGAAAAAAAATTTATCGGCAGAAGAAGTAGTAAAAGCTTTAACTTTAGTGGATGGGGGCCATTCAATGTGTCATGTTGCTAATGTGATAGAAGACATCGTTCGACAATAAGTCGTATGGTTGAACGATTTAATGAAACAGGAAGACGAAAACGATGTACCGATCCAAGGGATGAGCATTTTGTTAAACAAACTGGTCTAAGAAACAGAAAGATCACTTGTACTAGACTAAAGAGGGAACTCAGAACTGTTCGCCATCATTAAAATATCGTCTCGAATAATCAGAAGACCTTTAAGTAAGGCTGGTTTAAGCAGCAGAAGACCGGCAAAAAAATAATTGCTCGCCAGAGAACACAAGAGTTCCAAGATTGCGTTTTGATGATTGAAAGATTTTTTTATGATGAAACGAGAATTAGTCTCAATTGTCCTGATGGGTGTGAACGTATTTGGCGAAGGACAGGAGAGAGATTTGCAAGTTGCAATATATCATCAAAAATCCCGTTTGGTGGAGGCTCTGTAATGTTTTGGGGACGCACAGATTTAGTTTTGGTTAGTGTATGATCAATGAACGCCGATTATTATCTAGAAAACATTGTAATTAAACAGAGTCCAGAACATAAATTGAGAAAATCTTGGCCAAAGATGGAGCTACCTTCTACCGCTATATGTTTCGGTTGCTAATATACTCCACAAGGTGATAAGAATTTCCGGAAAAAACACATTTTTATTTCACCTGATATAAATCGAATATGAACTTTTTCTCATTATCAGCGAAAACTATGACGTTATCAAGGAACCAACCTACAATTAAAAAAAAGTCATTTAAATCGGATCATAAATTCAGAAAAAAAAAGCACCAAAAAGTGTCAAATTGATGATGTTGCGTTAATTTTGTCCAGGAGTCTATGTGAAAATGGCCGCGGTCAAACTTTGCCGTTCATCATTTCTTTTTTTTTTCTACTGTTTATTGGACCTTGAAACACGATTTGTCCGAAATTTGAAGCTATCAACTTCAAATTTGGGAAGAAAATAGCGTTCGGTTAGGAAAAAGAACAATTTTCTAAAACCGTTTCTACGATCAAAAAAATTATTGGATGAAAAGATCCGCGAGATCCAGTGCTATAAATTTTATTCTTGATAATTTTGAAAAATATATAGCGTGTACCCGGTATTCGCAAAGAACTGTAATTTGGGTTCCTTTTTTAAAGAAAATTGGCCATAACTATGTGATTCATTAGTCAATTCATTTCAGACAGCTAAAACTTTTCTATTTAAGGTGTTACCTGTCGTACGGGGTGTTCCATATTTTCCAGAAATGTATTAACATTTAAACAGTTCAAATTTGGCGCAATCAAATCTGGCAAAGTATTTTTTTAAAAATTCGAAAAAAACTTGTTGGGTTAGTTCTCGAAAATTATTTACCCGATCGGCAAAATTCTTGAACAGGGAACGCGGGATACCCAGGGCTTTAACTTTTGTTTCAAGCATTTTTTAGATTATATACAGGGTTCATTTCGGATTAAAATATAAAATTCCTTGAAAATTGTTCTTGTTCAGAGTAAATTATTAGCCGTAAATTAAAATTAGAGCTATTTGGTTTTAACAGTGCTGCAGGCCGCATCGGTTTCGTCTATCAAACACGGTTCCCGAGATACTTGAAAAAATCCATGTGAAATTCGCCATTTTTAGCGCCAATCTGGACACGATGACGTCATTTGCTAATACGATGTACTGTATATTTTCGAAAAAAAAATATTTACTCGAAAACCATTAACTCTCTTGAACATTCATGGACCAGAAAACGTGGAAGTTCCAGGGCTACAACCTTTACTTTAGGCATTTTTTCGATTATGTGTAGGGTGGGTCTGTAATGGGCAACAAATATAAAGAACGCTGAAAATTGTAGTAGTAGTAAACGAAAAATTTGTAACAGATGGTGTAATTTCTTTTAAACAGTATCTTAACCTGAAACTAAAATGAGAGAGTTTCAGTTCATTCAGAAATCGTTATTACTAGTACAAATTTTTATATTTACTAAAGTTTGCAATAACTACGTACAAAAACGCCAAAATATATTATAAGAAGTAATATATATTCCCTTTATCGCAACCAGACTGTTCCACACCTTTTCTGACATATTTTGAATTTTAGGTCCAAAGTGATGTTCGCAGGACTAAGGCCTATCGATTGATCCGACTGCAAGCAAAGATTTTTTGAGACGTTTGTAATTTTGAACAGGGAAATCGGTATAGTTTTGCTTATTTTTTATTTCGTATGGTTATATATTTGGGATTGATGTCCTTATAATACAAGATCATCTACTTTATTGCTGCGTATTAATATTACAAAAGTAAATAAATACAGGGTGATCAGAAGTAGCTCAAAAATTTTAATGGAAAAATCGTAGAGTCATTTCTTTCATTTTTATAATTTATTCGTATGTAGCATTTAAAAAAAGGGTGATTTATATCTTATAAACCATGATCGGTTGTTGATTCTCAGGTGATCGTCTAGAATTTCATACAAATATCTATGTATATTTCAAGAAAGAATTAAACTGGCAAATTCTATCCAGTTTCGCTCAATTTCTGTCTAGGCCATAGGCGTAGATAAACTTTGAACACATTGAGACGAAAATACTTGAAAGGTATAAAGCAGCAGAGTAAAAGAAAATCTTTTTATTTTGATAGAACAGAGATTAATAAAGATTATATAGTACCAAAAATGGGGCGAGACAATAATATAAACTGCTCGCCAAAATTTCATGGAAGGCCTGTCAACGGGTATTAAGTTAATCAGGAAATTGGAAGAGGGAATCGTCCTTATTGGAAGCGAAGAAGGTTTCAGTCGTGCCTTACGAGAGATGAATTCGGAATTTTTTGAAGTCTAATTTGGTGAAATAATAGCACGACATTCCGTTTTATTCAGTCACGACGCATAGAGAACACTCCAACTATAAAATATTGGATTTGAAGATAATTTCATGAATTATCACATACGGAAAATTGACACTAAACCAGTCCACTATGTCATTACAGAAGAGGGGTAAATCCCACGTTTACTCCTCTTCTTTAATCTTATCTACTTGATCGATCCGACTGTCGGTAGAGTAGAGAAGAGACGACAGTTCCTCAGATAGCAAATAATGACATAATTTTTTATAAATTTTTGTATAATGTTTAATAAAAAATTAGGGTATCTAATACTATGTGTATAATGCCTCTATAATTTTTATTCTACCGGGACGAATTTGGCACATCATTTGTAGTTCTCGTGAATAGACAAAATCGATAAATTGACCCAAGATAGAATTTTGCAGTGAAATCAAGGACAAACAACGGAAGCGGCTTAAGTATTCGTTAGCTTACTTTATAGTTTCTTTGCATTGAGGTTTTTTATTTTACACCTTTCTAAAATGGACTTTATTAAAGTTACAAGAAAAAGTATTTTGTCTTAAAACTTTTACAGCTTTTAGAACTTTTGTAGCTCGTTACAGCTTTAGGAACTCTCTTGAAATCATTTAAGGATCGGCATTTTATTCTGTGCCACCCGGTATAAATGTTGCATTAAATAAAAACGGATTGTGTTTTAGCAAGTTACGATCTAAATACCTAACTTTAATGGACCTGTTGTTATTGCAAAGCGTAAGAAATTATCGTGTATTACGTAATTTGTTACTAAAATCACAATCAAGAAAGCCTTGAAACCATCCGACTTAATGAAAAAAATTAATACGGGCGCCTATTAATTTAATAAGTTATTTATTTGTTTAAAATATTAAGTACAAAAAAAATCCAGGTAACAAAATGAAACAAAATATTCTAAAAAACGAATCGTTCATAAAATTATGAGACTGAAGCGGATATTTTGTTGTAAATTTAAGATCTCAATTCGGGCTTAAAAGTAAAAGTTAAAGTAAAGTTGTTTTTAAACGGCCAACTTAAAAAATACCAGGCAACAATTTAATATGAATATATCTACATAATCAAGTTCCCTTGTTATGGTCATCCGAACAAGTGACCATAATAAAATAACCAAAACTATATCGATCCATTTCGATAGATGTTTACAGAAATGTATTTTTAGTACCTACATCATTTTAATCAAAAATTTGACGTGGCACAAACCGGTCGGAGCGGGCA